AGAGCGTCTCCATGGCCTCTTTGGCGTGCATTAGTATTGACAGATACATTGCCATCACAAAGCCGCTGACCTACAACACGCTGGTTACCCCGTGGAGACTTCGAATCTGCATACTGGTCATTTGGCTGTACTCCTGCCTGGTCTTCTTACCCTCCTTTCACTGGGGAAAGCCTGGATATCACGGGGATGTGTTTCAGTGGTGTGCCAATTCCTGGAACACCGATCCCTATTTTACCCTCTTCATTGTGGTGATGCTCTATGCCCCGGCTGCTTTCATCGTCTGCTTCACTTACTTCAACATCTTCCGCATCTGCCAGCAGCACACCAAGGAGATCAACGAGAGGCGAGTGCGCTTCAGCTCTCAGGATGGGGAGGCTGGGGAGGCACAGCCCTGCCCGGACAAGCGCTACGCCATGGTTCTTTTCCGCATCACCAGTGTCTTCTACATCCTCTGGTTGCCCTACATAATCTATTTTCTGCTGGAGAGCTCCAATGTCTATAGTAACCGCGTTGCGTCCTTCTTGACCACTTGGCTTGCCATTAGCAACAGTTTCTGCAACTGTGTCATTTACAGTCTCTCCAACAGTGTCTTTCAGAAGGGGCTTAAGCGTCTCTCGGGGGCTATTTGTGCCTCCTGTGCTAGACAGAGGGTAGCTAAGGACTCCTCTACCTCTAGGAGCAAAAGATCTTCCAATGGATGTCATGTCTAAGACGCCTATCAGCTGGACTGGGAAGTGCAGGGACAATTCTGTAAATTGCAAAATAAATTAAATACGATTTTAAGATGTCCAGATTTGCAAAAAGGTTTCTGAGAAATGCTGCTGACCTAGAAGAATCAGGAGCACATATCATTGTGATTTCACTTAAAAAAAATTATTGCTGTGGAGGAGGCTGTGGAGTTTCACCTCCGTGTTCATTTTTAAGAATAAAGCTGTATCTTGACACTTACCTCTCCAGCTGGTGTGACTGAATGGAGTGGGTGTCTGAGAGCTTCAGCAAAATGTAGTCTTTCTTACAGCTTTACTAGGTTCTTTCGAGATTCGTGCTTCACATGTAAATGATAGATCCGAAGTGGAAATGTCACAGTATATGGTATATTACAGGGATTTTTTAATATATGCCAAAGTATATTGACACAATGTTCCAGCATCGTAACAGAAGGGGCCAAACAATTTGTTTTTCAGTGCTACCTAGACAGGACTTCTAGAACAGTGGTGAACAATGTGAAGGTTTTAGTGTGAACTTCGAGTCTTACTGAGCCATGAGAGCAGCGATGTGATCTGAAGAGCCGTACGCTTAGGACTGGGCTGGCTCCCGTGCCCCGTGTCTCCGGTAGGCTGCGTGTGTGCGATCGGAGCACGGCATCTGCATTTTCCTGTTTGTGGTGAAGTAGGAAGAAATCGGATCAGACCAAATTTAGCAGTTAAATAAAATGTGTTTTCATAAGCTAAGAGAAAATACATGTCACTTTACGATACCAGAGTTATGGCAGGCACCCCCCAACATGTGAAAATTATTCTCAAAACAGTGGAGAAATGCCACGGTTTTGTATGTGGAAATTTTCTCAAGAACAACTTTAAAAATAACTTGTCCCTTTTTTTTTTTTTTAATCTAAATTCTTCTGATATTTTACATACTAGAACTTAAGGGGAAAGGAAAGAAAACAATTGTCTTCTAAACAGCTAAGGGAACTATGTTGTAAATTTAACTGTAGTATTTGAGTTATTCATAAGTGCACAGAGCTAAATGAGAGACATTTTTCTTTAGCCTTCATGGGATTAAAGATGGTTCGAATATAGCAGGAGCTAAATCCCGTTGGCAAACGTGTATCAAACTGGTCAAACAAAGTCAGTATCTGAGAAACAAAATCTCATTGACCAAAGCTTTTTCAAGGTAGCTTGTTTTTGAGCACCGTAGTCCTGTTAAGAAGGCAGTAGGGCCCTCAAATTGAGTAGTTTTCCTAGAGAATATCCTTGTCTTTTTACTGATGCCATATTGGAAAATGAAGGTGAACCGTGTATTCCTGTAATAATGGATTGCAGCCTGCATTGTCTTTTCTCACACCATATCCCCCTGCCTCGCCCCTGGTCTGGGAGCAGGTTATGTTCCCAGTTCCCTCCCTTCCTTCCTTGTGCTTCGAGTCGTGCGTTGGGCTGCGGTGAGCCCGGGGAATGCCGCGAGCTCGTGTGTCACGGCTGATGTGCACTGTTGCAGTGGGAATGAAAAGATATTAGGGAAAAGTGATTTGATTTTTTTTTTAGAATTGGGGTAATTCTCTTGGTCAAAGGGAAGGCTGTATTTTTGTTAAATGGTTTCAGGTCTACTGGTGTTATAGATCAAGATCATCCTCTTTTTAGTATTCTCCCCTGTCCCTCCTGCAAGCATCCGCGTACCCTCCTCTCTGGTCTGCTGTGAGCCTCTTGTCTTTGTGCTTTGCCTCGGAGGGTGACAGTTTGTGTCTCTGTCCTGTCACATGCAGTGGTTGCTGCAGACCATCCTGCTCGCTGCCCATCCACGTTTGCCCCAGTTCAGTCTTGTGAGGCCACCAGTGAGGAAGCAGGGAAGGAAAGAGAGAGCAGCAGGTTGATGCCTCCTGGCACTCGTTGCTGATGGACACGAGTTCCTCTTACAGATGTGTGTGTGTGTGTGTGTACCTGTTCCTGGGGAGGATGGGGCAGAACCCCCTACCATCACTGCCTAGTTTTGGTTTGAGAGTCCTGTTACAAGGCGCGTTTAAGTCATACCTTGATCTGCTTTCGGCGTATTTCATCCGTAGTCCAAATCTCCCAAGATAAACTTCCTCCTTAGTTCATCTGAAACGTGAAGAACAAAGGTTGTCTAAACCCTGATGCCTTCACCACGATGTTTCGTGTTATCTTTTGCAATAAGACGTGGCTGGAGCCGGGGCTTGTGCTGTGATCCTGCACAGACACGGCAGAGGGGACTCGTTCTGCAGAGCTCTGGCAGCCTGAATTTTGGTTAGAGATGCAGACAGCCGTGGGGGAGCAGAGTGTAAGGGTGTAGTGAGTCACTTGTAAATGGTATAATAAGCTCACAGCACATCAGCTGGCTAATTGTTCTCGAGTGTTTTGTAGGTATTATGGCAAAGGTGGGCTTTGGGGAACAATTTAAGGGCTTTAGTCACTAATATCAAAGCGCGTGTGTGTGGTATTTTTGGAACAGCCTCTCAGGTAGACTCCCAATAGCTTTTCTCTGATTCTTCACCTTATCTGACATTTCCACGTCTTTGGAGTGATGCAATCTATCATTGAAATAGCATTTGATTAAATTTAATAGAAGAAAAGGATCTGCTAGGACCTAAACCCCTGAAAGTGGCAGTTTTAGGTTTAAGTAGAAGCTGGAAAGCAAAGATTGTTGCCTTTTTGTTTTTTTCATGGCATGAATAAAGGTTTAAATAGAAGCATTGTATGCTAGGTTTTCAGAATATGGAAAATTTTTAAAAGTGGCATAGAGATTTAACTCGAGATGAAGCAGTTGCTACTTCAGCCCTAAGCCTAGAATTGTACGTGAAGTGTAGTGGCTGTTACAGATGCAGATGCACGCTTGCAGCTGTCGTTGCTTTGCAGCTAAGGTTCAGTTACGACATTCCTAACAGCCAGGCTTTTGTTCAGTTGCCTTACTCATCTCAAAGTCTTCATCAGCTCAGATGATTTCCGTGAGAGGTGAAAATCAGAATCTGGAAGTCTCCAAGAGATGAGGACGGAGAGGAGTTGCAGCCAGTGGATACATTCAAGTTTCATCCGGTGTTTTTACGGACACTTTTAAAAAACGTTGCCTCAGTAGCTTAGTTTTAGTATCAAATATTTCTGGGTTTGTCTGTGTTAATTTATTGATTTATTTTTTTAATTTAAATTACTTTTTTTTCTCTAAGTTAATTTAATGTTGATCTAGATTTGTACGTGACTAGATGTTTTAAATATTTCTAACATTTGAGTCTGTTGTCTTCAGTGAAATTGCATGGGGGTGAATCTTGTTCACTGTGCCAACTGTGGAAGGAATAATTTTGAAATATATTACCTTGTTTGCTCAGCAGTCCTTTTAACATCCTTTGTCATGTAGTTAACATGAGACACGGTAGTCCTTTTCATCGCAATCTGTGCTGTGAAATTGTTATGCAGCAAACTTTCCAGTTGGATCACTTTCATCGTTGTACATATGAAACTAATCCTTTCTTGGCTATATTTGTACCCGAGTGTGCCTGGTGCTTTAGAAATTGGTATCAAGAGCATTACCCAGATGAATGCCACACTGAGGAGAATACAGAAATCAAACTACACCTTCATAAAAATTATGTGTTGTGATAAGATGAAAAGAACTAATTTGGAAGTTCCATCTCAGACTATAATTTTATTTTTTTTTTTTAATTAAGGTTACCTGCCTCTCTTTTCAGTTAAGCTGCTAGAAGGTTCAATTTGCAGGATGCAATTCAGTGGCATTTTTTCAGTACCGTGGGAAGGATTTCTATACGCACAACTTCTCAGAAGGTGATAATTTGCTTCATCTAGAACTCTTGATTTTTTTTTTTTTTGAAGGTTTACTGGAAGTTTAGGTTGTGATTATATTGTCATTTTCCAAATAGACTGGGAGAAAATCTGTGAAATACTATTTTTTTATAATCTCCAATCAAGTGAGACTATTTTTTAAATCAATAGGTATCTTTTGTGTGGAACAACTTTTGCTGTTATCAACTGTTAACTTTTTTAAATTAAACGTTACTAGTTTCTTGTCTTTGATTTCTCTTAGGGGTTTTGTACTTGTTTTTAAGCTTCTTATCACTCAGAGATTTGTTTCTACTAGTTGAGATTCTGACATGGTTCAGTGTCAGAGTGCCAAGGGGCAATCTTGAATATTTGTCACAAATCCGTGACAAGAAGAGAGTGGTACAAAGTACCGAGGCACAGAGAATCTCTAGAGTAGCACGAGGTTGCACAGAGTCTTTCTTACAGCAGACTTGAATGAGAATTTCCAAATTTCAGTCTCGTGCTGCATTTCTATGGCATTGTTCCTTTCCCGCTCATGTAAAGATTTTTACCTGAAAGAATTCCTAAATTTCAGCAGTTTGTTCTGAAAAAGGCACTTCCAAGGCCTGTATGTGATGTGAGATTGAGACATTCAGTATGCAAATTTAATAAGCATTTTTTTTGATATTTATTGTGGTATTACCAACTGCTGTGATGATAACAGATGTGCTGAACCTTCATGAGTCAGGAAGTCTGAAACGTTTTGGTCTGGTCATAACTCCACATCAGGGTTTGAAGTTGACAGAACTACTCCTAATTCAGGTCAGTGCTTTAAAAAACGTATTTCTTAGGAACTAATATCTGAGCACAGGAGTCTGCCTTTGGACATTACAAACAAAAGGCCCATTTAAAATTTTTCCAATTACTTGATTTATGTATTGTAGGTAATTCTAATTAGAGGAGGTGGAGGTTTTGGAGGGCTTTTGTTGTTGTTTTAACACATTTTTGATTCTGGGTCCTTGAAGCACCTGCTAAAACATTTGCCTGACCTGGCCCTTATTTTGTTGTTTAGTGTAGAAACCTTTTTTCTTCACTTCTACGACTTTGCAGAATGCGACTCCTTTCCCTGATGTCATTCCAGATCAGCTTGGGTTTTACCTGACCACCAGCACTGTCTGGAGTGGGCAAAGCACGTGTTTGTAACCGATGTTCTGCTGTGACCCAAGAGGCATAAAGGCCTCCGTGGTTTTAATTCTTAAATGAGGGAAGAGTAACTGTCCTCCTTTATGCAGCTTATAGGAATGGACACCTTGCAAACTCCGGGGTTGTTCTGCTGAGGCTTCCAGGAGGGGAGAGGCTGGGGATGCCCCAGCCGAGTCCGTTTATTCTGCTGGCGAAGCTCTGCTTCCTCCTTGCCATCTCGGCCTGCCTGTGTCTTTTCAGTCCATTTTCTGCTCTTTTCTTTCCGTTCCTATTGCTGAA